TGATATCGATCGAGGTGCGGGAAGTCTGGGCGATCCGGTAACGGGGCTCCCACTATGCCCTGGCTGTTGAGTTTTGGGACTCGACAGCGCCCTTCCTGTTACCCTTAAGAGCCACTGGTATTCCTAGGGGTGGAACGCAGAAACCATTTTTATCGTGAACTGCGCCTTTAACAGACCCCGTAGGACTGGAAAACTCTGGAAAACTTGGATGGTTTAGAGCACTTCAGTATCCGATCCCCGGACCATGAGTGTAGAAGTGCCTATTTGCCAGTGAACAGGCTCCGCCCAGTTCTTGTTTTATGCATTGCTGATTTAAACACAAAAACATACTGGAGCGTCTAGGCAGATAAGATAAGTTCCTCCAGTTGGGTACCTTTAATCTAATCCACCTCACCGTGATACAAAATCAAAGAAACTATCAATCCCTTGAACAAAAATCTCAGCGGCCATACACCTGCCTCTTGAAGTGATCGATAGTGTTGGAGAAAACCATATTTCCTGGGTGACGGTGCTCCTCCCCAAATTCCCAGGTCAAGCGGCACCGCTTCCGCGGCGATAACCGTTTCCTTCCACTGGGAGTTCAAACTTTTTCTCACATAGTCCGCAACTACGCGCGATCGAGTGCGGCAGGCGCGGCGCGCTTTGCGGGAGAAGATACCACACCCTGTTTCCTGGCATGCCGTAAATGGTTACCATTCTAAGCACACGTGTCGGGTCAATCGGGTCCCTTTGAAAGTAAAAATGAATGGAGAATTTTGAGTTTACAGCTACCTTACCAGGAATGCAAAAGTTGTCCTTTTTACAGGAGATGGCAGTCGCTGCCCTAAAATTTGTAACAAGGTCATCGTTCCTGCCAGCCTATGACGAAGGCAGATTGCGTGGAGCTTACTTTTGCCACTTAATTACCGAAAGTTACGAATCTCGTCTCGCCTCTTGAAAACGTCCACGGCAAAAGTTGCTGCACCGCATGACTCAGTTGTCAAGCCCTTTTCCCATGAAGGAATTGCCCTACATACTAATACTTCAGAAGAAAAAACACAAAAGCAGCCACTCACCGCTTTCCTCGATGACATTGACTCCGCAATGTTATCGAATAACGGCTTAAGAGCAGCGCTGCTGCGGTCCCGCCACGTCCTGGGTTACGGTATCTTTCTCGAATGTTCCCCTTGCGCTCAGCAGCTTATACACGACTGTCACCTTACGATTCCACGCTTCACATACAACCTATGGAGGCTTCTTCGGATTTCTGTGATGCAGCACCTTTTCTCGAAGATGAGGAATGGTACAGGGATGCCATCCCGAATGATCCTTCTGTTTTGTCCCACATCAGGGAAATAGCAGTGAAAGGTCGCACTTCAACTCCATGGTTGTCTGTCAAAATGAAGTTTCCTGCCAGGATCGAGGTAAGCGGACTTTGTACGTTTACTTGTTTATACAATATTCAGTTCCATTTTTAGTATTGCGTCAAAATTGTGGAAAATTACCAAAGGCGATGTCTTGGGGTGCGAGTTGATCTGAGTGAAGATAGTGAGGGAAGAGTGCTTTTGGATTCGATTTCCGAGAAAGTCCTCTCCTTTACCGATGTTCCATTTACCTGGCGGAGGTGAGTCCTGTCAATTTACTAGTATTCCTTTTGAGTAATCAGATGAAAGTCTGATGTAGTTGGAAGAACTAGTTGCTTTTTCGCGCCCTTTTCTGTGCTCCCTCGCCGAGACGGTATCTGAATGGCCTTTTTCTATTCAATTCCATTTTTTCGCAATGAATCAGAGTTTCACTCATCCAGATGCTGCTACCCTCCTTGAGCCTGGGCCTAAAAATCCTTCCTCCTTGATCAGAAATGTTTCTTTGCACCATGACAGGCCGCCAAGCCGGCGCCTTTTATTTCTCTGACTCTAGCAATCAGCGTTAGAGACGCAAAGCACGATGAAGTGGTCCCTCCAACTACATACATTTCCACGAGTTATTTCATGCCATCTATGGATTTGTTAAGGTTTTGTGAGTTACTGTATGATCCCCTGAGGAATTACTCGGACGTTTCGAAATATATTCGGGCCCTGAGCAGAGTCATCGATGTGCAGATGACGGAAAAGGAATGTCAGGCAAATCTTCGACTTCAACCGCAGCCAATTCAATCCTTTACACCTGTCCAGATCTTTTTTGATGATGAGGTTTGTGTCATCTTTTGGTGGTTTTTCTTGTATTTGATCACAGTAGCAGTCCGCAGTTGCAGCG